TCATGTGCGGCGTGACTCCTTTACTCACCAGCATAAACTATTCTTGTGGCGAATTACTAGCACTTATTTCTGTGTTGAGTGAATTTTTAGGCTTGGCTTTCTTGGACAGTTAATTTTTATTACTTGACCTTTCTCTAGACTTCTCACTCTTACTCTGAATGATTTGTCGCCCTTTCAAGAAGAAAGATACTTGGCTGCCCACGTGGACTGCGTGTTCCTGGTGTCCCCCGCGGACAGCCCTTTGGCTGCCCACGCAGACTGCGTATCCCAATAATACCCCGCGAACAGCCTGGTCTTCACTCTCTTGTTCCCATCTTCAAGGCCTCTTGCCATGAGTCCCCATTCAAGGGGCTTCTAGTCTTAGTTTTCCAATCAGGGCGCGCCGCTTTTCGGCGACATGATGAATGTGCACGCCCTTTCCCCACTTCATAAGAAATTAGGCTTAGACAAAGAGAATATCGAAGGAGTATCTCTGGCAGCAATGCGTGAAGTGGAAGATTTGCCCCTCTCCGGGACTCATCGTGGTGGAGGTGATTTTCGGTCAAGCGTCTTCGCTTGGCCTATGCAAGCAGCAACTGTTGTCGTACTTGACAACAATGCATGCGTATGCCCTTGTGGCATTGAAGGCACACGTGCGACGCAAATGTCGAGAGTCGCGAGTGCCGAGTTTCGGGTGCAACGGATTTTAGGAAATGTTTTCATTCAACTGTTTAGAAATATTTTAATCCTCAAAATATACTCTTGTAAACAAGCTAGCCGGGTTTTGATGGTAAGTCGCAAGGGTCTTCATTGCATTCAAAACAATTACTACGCCTTTAATATGAAAGGCAATAAATGGCTGTTTACGAGTTCACAGATGTACAAACCTTTTCGAGTCTCATGCAACCTTGGCGAGACTTTCTTAGTTTTTCGTATCCTTTTGATAATTCCCTTTTTATTAGCCGTTGAAGGTTTTCTAGTAAATATAATTCGAGAGATTTTCTTTTCACTCTCGAACAGGCTCGAACTACCAATTAAATAGTTCAGTGGATTAGTTTCTCAGCAGGATAACTTCAAAGGAAATAATAAGTGATAAGGCTGAAAAATATCGTGTATTTAGTAAAACAATGTTTATTATTGTAAAAGATTATAATAATATTGCACTTTGATGTAGAGAGAAATAATTCTTTTGAAGTAGTGATGTATTCTTGAATTATTATAGTTCTATGGATATGACTGTCTTGAAATTGGGGTAATGCTGATGTTGTAAATATCAGCTGGTGTAGTCAATCAATCATGCTTGTGAGGTAGCATGAGACGATGGTAGTCGAATCAAGTATGCTTGATATACAAATAACTATACTTAATATGGTGTAATATGTTTAATGGAATATGTTAAGTAACCGAGTGTCTTTAATTATGCAAGGGGACAGTAGAAGAATCTAGTTACAGGAAAGAGTAATTAATGGTAAGATGTCTAACGCGTGAAGGATTTAAGAATCTGTATATATATAGTCTATTAGTCGATCTGTTCTTGTCCTTCTTTAACAATGTGTATGAACCATAGTTACTCTTGCGTCAGCTGTTGAGAGCCTGTACGATGTCGAGGGTTAGTTCAAGACAACGTAAGTGTGCCCTGTTTGTGCTAGCGGGCCTGTACGGTGTCGAGGGATCAATTCGAGAGAGCGTAAATGTGCCCGATCGACTATAGCGCGAGATGTGACTTGTTTATTTATTAATATAAAGGTGTACCTGGTGAACTGCAGGCTAGTTGTATTAGATGCTGTGTAGTTGATGTCCCCCTTGATTACGATTCCAATTGGCTTCACTGTTAAATCACTACCTGATCTTGATGATTCTTTTTAATCATGCACGTGTATTTTTAAGTTGGCCTCCGAATATGCGGCCTTGTGTCGTCGCCACAGTATATACTAAAACACTGGATGGTAGTAACATTTAAGTGGACGCAAGGTAGAATTACAATGAACCTATAAGCCTTTTGAATACGCGCACGAACAGAAGGCTTGATCGATCCGTGGCGGCTTTGCTTAAAATACCGACCGTTCCATGGCAGTCCTGCTGAGAGATCCTTCTACTGGTAGATGATTAAATCGGTTCACTATGGTCGGTCACTGCGGTCGGGTCACGGCAAGATGTTGGCCGCAAGCGCAGTTGAGCGAGGGTGGTTCGGCAAGAGATGATTCTCGAGGCGCGCTGCGTGCGTCCCTTATATAGCCACGCGGCGGCTCACTTAGC